CTGATCTGGTTCCATTTGTCGTTCATGATTTTCTAATAGAGATTGATCGATACAATACTCAAAAATCGAGCCTAGTAAACCTTCTGGATTATTGGAAACATTTGTGATTATGAATTTGGTTGATAACTTAAGAAGATTAAATTTTTGGGTAAACTTGGTCTCATGACCGAGTTTTTTAACATAGAAGTCAAGACTCTCAGTAGGGGTGATTTTAATTTTCTTGGGAGGGGTAGGTTGCATTTTTGAAAATAAAATTTAAAATGAAAAAATTAAATTTGATATAAGATATATGAAAGGAAATTTAATCAAAAATAAATGTTTGTTTTCAACAATAAAAATGAAATTTTAAGTTATAGCTAAATTAAATTTTCTATGAAGGCAGGCTATGGGTAAATAAGGTTATGAATGTGGTATTTGTAGGATTTGATCGTGAAGAAGCAGGCGTTGAACAGTAGAATGATATTTCAGGTCAAAAGAAGTCGCTTTTTATACTTCCGTTCTAGCTCCACCTATATTAGGTTATTCTCAAATTAAAACACAGTTGGATTTTTAGAGAAATTTCTTAACTAGGTTAAGATTTTTAATAATAACCTTGAAATTTTGACCTATTTATTGACTAATTTTATAATATTATATTCAACTAAATACATGAGTGAGTGATATTTTAATTAAGGGTCGAGAGGATAACACTATCACATATAGAGATTAACAATGTAGGCAAAGTGGGTTGGGTTGGATTAGATGAAGGAGATCAGGGACTAACCAGATAGTATGATCCAATTAGACTAACACTCACTGGTTTTTATACTATCTTAAGTTTGCATGACTAAATACTAAACACACCAGATAGCATTGGATTTTGCGTTTGTTCGAATTTTACTTAGAAAAGGAATATAAAGATGATAAAGAGATATTGAAATTATATATTTTATTAAAAAAAAAGATTATTTAAAATAAGAATTTTTATATTTATCTTTTAATAACCAATTTTATTCTTTATTTATTTCATTGTTTTTTCATCATTTCTTAAACCTACGTATTTACATAATTCAAGGACTCCTTTTTTTCCTTCAAATTGAATACAATAGAAATTTCAGTTTTGTAGGTTAACTCTTTGAATAGAAAGATCTTTCGATATGTAATACAATAAAGATTCTGAGCCTATTGAAAATTTTGATTGGTTTTAGGTCAATCTTTGAATAAAAAATTTCTTCGATAGAAATTTTAATCCTCTAAAAATTTGAGTTTTTTAGGTCAATCTTTGCATAGAAAAATCTTAGAATAAAAATTTTAAATTTTAGGTTAAATTTGAATAAGAAAAATACAAAAGAAAAATTTCAAAGTTCCTTTTTTTTCACTCTCACACTGAAAAGAATCTTAATAATTGAAATTTTTAGGCTAATCCTTTCCATATAAAGAAGAATAGAAACAATGACCTCAAATGATTAAAAATAAGTTTTATAAAAATTTACATAATTGGATTAGTAAAATAAAATTTTTAAATCTAACCATAAGGAAAAGGAGTCGACGAAAAGTAAGGAAAATAAAGGGACTTAATTTTAAAATTATTTATCTCTTTATCTATCTCCCGACTGCCTACGCTATTGCCCTTTTTCTCTGCCTACGGATACGTTGGTTTCACTACTCGTGTTAAAGCAAATATTAAAAATATAATTGCTACTAAAAGAAATACATTAACAATTAAATATATCTCGTGTTAAAACTCAATTTAGCAACTTATAATTTAAAAAAAAATATTTTTTTATTTTAAAAATAAATTATGTATTTACCAGCATTTGGAAGAAAAGAAACTCTATTGTTATTATTAGATTGTCCAGAATGCCGTCTATTTGAATCCATTGAAGTTGATTGACTTACACCAACTTTTAGTCCGTTTGGAGATAAGGAGGGGCGGAGATTATTATCAGAAAATTGTCGTCTAGTTTGTCGATGATGACTAGAAAAAATTGAAAAAAAGATTTTATTTAAGAACTCTGATCCCCCCCCCCCTCTAATTTTTTCTTAATACTCCCCCAATAATAAATTACTTTAAAATAAAAGGGTTAATTTTTAAAAAAACATTTGTCTTTTTAATATTAAAAATAAATATTAAAATTTGTTGTCAAGGAAAAGAAAAAATTATTAAGAAACTAATGGAGACAAAACATTAGTTTTTTAATAAATAAATATATTTGTGTTTGCTTTTTGTTATATGTGAAGGTGGAAATAAATAATATGTGTATGAAATCGTGCCAACCAAATAAATTTTTGTAGTAAAAAATATAAATAATTTTTTGAAAAATTATATAATTTATACAAGGATAGAATTTAAAGTTTTTGAAAATAAAAAAATATTTTTGAGAAGAAAAGAATTTTAATATTTTTTAAATAATATAAAAAGAAATGTTGGATATAAAGTCTAATAAATTAATTATTAAAAACACTGACATTTAAGCTTGTTATTCAGCTGCCAATTAAAACAAAATAAATAATAAAAGTATTTGGTATGGAAAAAAGAAAATGAGGGTGGAAGTGTGGGAATTTATAATGGTTGTAAGAAAATATTAAAAAATAAAATTATTAGTTAAGATTTTACATAATATTTTTTTTCAAATTTTAGACAAAAAAGTAATCAGTCAATTTTGAATAACTGAAGTGTAAAATTAGTAATTAATTTTTATATCTTATTAAAATAAAAACAAACCCAAAAATTGCTGTACGTGTAGAAGGACTACCCCCACCACTAATTATTTTATTTTTATCATTATTAATTGTTGGTTGAATAATAACAGGTTTAACAATACTTGTAGATAATTGATGTTTTTGAAGAGGTCTGACAGATTCTTCTCCTCCACTAGGGCTTGGTTCTCGACTAGATTCTGCTGGACTAGTAAATTCGAAACGAGGGAGGGGAATTGAAGTAGATAAAGAATTTGTGGTAGGTGAGGGGGAAACACCGAAAATTTTTGTTTTGTTGAGGGGAGGATTGGGAAAGGTTGAAGAAGATTCCATTTAAATAAAAATATTTAAATATTTTTTTGTTTGAATAATTAATCTAAGGAAAATAAATTCGAAAAAATTGTGTTACCAAAGAAATTTGTAAATAAATAAATAAAAAAGGTGTTTATAATACTTTACTTATTTAATAAAAATAATTTAAAAATTATTTCTTAAAACCTAGAAAAACATCTGTTTTACTAAATTTATTTTCGTAAAATAAATTCTATGTAGATTAATTTCTATGAATATAATTATTTAAGGGAAACTAACTAACATAAATAAAAAAAAATAATTTAAATTTTTAAAGGGAATATTTAAATATTTTTTGATCAAAAAAAATTTTTTTGTGGATAAATTTTAAAAACTTTTATTATTTTATAGGAGATAATTGGCTGTTAAAAAATTTAAAAAAATCTTTTTTGAAGACACAAATGTATTACTACAAATTATAGCCTTAAAAGATAGTAAAGTCCTCTCCTCTTCTTTTTCTCATTTTAAATTCCCTTTCCACTCAAAATCCCCCGAGGCTTTTACACCTTCATAAATCCTCTCAAAGTAAATGGGACCGTTTCCAACGAGATTATTTTAAATTAAGGGGTTTGACGAAGAATAAAAAAATAAATGTTTTAATAAATAAAAATACATTCTTAATAAAATATATGCAGAAAAAGTTTTAAAAGATTAATCCAAAATAAATTTTTTGTAAATATATTTTTAAAGCTAAATAAAAGCAAAAAAAACTTAAATATGTATATTTTAACACTAAATATTTTAGATAGGACACGCCTAAAACAGCGCATAACTTGCTTCAAGATTTCCTAATCTTAACAAATTTAATATCAACGACTCCACTCATCGAGCTAAGGAGATTGGTAGCAGAATTGTTAAAGGCCAGACATTTTCTGCGAAGTTATGGCTCTGCGAAGTTATGGCTTTGCGCCATTTTAGGCTGTACCCAGTTTAGATATTTTATGAATTAAAACAAACCAAAACTTAAATATATTTATTTATATTTTAATTTAGAAAAAACAAAAAAATACATTATAATTTTGTTGGTAGTATTTTAGCAAATGAAGGTGGGCAGTAGGATGTTTTTGATCCTCTCAAGAAGAAATAAATGAAGAAATTTGTGCCCGAGAACATTTTTATAGAAGTTGAAGACTATTTTTAAGTAGAGAAGAACATCTCTAAAAAATAAATATTTCGGTATAATTATTTTAAAGTAAAATTTGAGATTAAAGGAGGGGAAAAATGACTGTTTATTCAAGAAGGTTATTGGGAAAGTTAATAAAATAGTCAAAAAAAAGCTTTGAATAGTAATAAATTTAGTCAATGGAAATCTAACCAAAAATTTTGTTAAATACTAAAAGTTTTTCAAAAAATCCCTCTCTGAATTTACGAAATATACTCATTGAAAATTTTGGCTGTATATGAAAGGAATGCGGCACTCAATTTTTTTCCTTATTCTTATAAATGGTTAATTTTCTTATATTTTTCTCTCTATTTTTGATTTGTGCCTTAAGACTATCTTCGTATTTTGTGCGCATTTACCTTTTTTCTGTCCGTATTTTGATTGACGATGTGTGTGTGTGTGTTTTGTCTGTTCGTGCTCGTCCGTATTTTGTCTGTCCGAGTCCGTCCGTGTTTTGTCTGTTCAAATCAGTCCGTGTTTTCTGTCCTAGTCCGTCCGTGTTTTGTCTGTCCGAGTTCGTCCGTGCTTTCTGACTGATGTGTCTGCATCCTTTGACTGAAACGCACGAACACAGACGAACTCGGACAGACACGCCGTCTCTAGTCTTAAGGCACAAATCAAAAATAGAGAGAAAAATATAAGAAAATTAACCATTTTTAAGAATAAGGAAAAAAATTGAGTGCCGCATTCCTTTCATATACAGCCAAAATTTTTATAAGTAAATTGAAAACAAAATTCTTTTGGTGTGGATATTATTTTAATTTTAGAAAATTAAAAAATTAAAAAAATAAACAAACCTTTTAACTGTCTAATCAAAATCCTCTTGGTCGCTGCTGAGTTCATATGCATAATTTCGATATTTTGGCTGCTCATCGCCATAATGATCTGAATTTGTTTTTAAATTAAAAAAACTCAAGGACAACAAAAGAACCAAAATTAGAAAAATTTTTGGTTAATAAATAAAACAAAGGCAAAAATATATGTAAACTTAATGAATAGAGTCGGAACCCCCCACAACCTTTTAATGCCAACCAACCAAAATATCCGTCCTCGCTTGTAGATTCATTTTCAAATTCATTAGCGCCATCCTCATCCGGATAATCATTAGCATAATATTGCTCAGCATTAGAATCTTCATCGTCATAGTCATCAGCTGAATCACCAGACTCGTCATCGCCTCCATAGAAAAGTTCAATATCGTCTGCCTCTTCAATGACTAGAGATTTAGAGTTGGATTGTTGACCTTCATTGATTTCCTAAATTAAAAAGAATATACATATCTTTTTAATTTGCTATATCTCGACACTTAGGAAAATGGGTTTTTTGGAGACTTTCCGGTAATAGTTCCGAGAAGGGACTAGTTGTATCTAACGAAAGACGCATAAGGGTCAGATATTTTTCTTATCCCATCTCACTCTGGTTTCCAAGTTTTACTTTGGGCCAAGGTAAAAAAATAAATATATGAATGAAAATGTTCTAAAAGAAAAGCCATTTACCTCATACCAAATCAATTATAGAGGCACTGAAAAATTTCTGATTTAGCGAAAAACAATTCCAGCTAGCTTGAGAAACATGTAAGGCATTCTTAAAACCTTATTAATTTTTTGAACGGAAGGCAACCTAATTTAATGACTTCCGCCTTATTCTCGTCCATTACTGAGAGAAAAGAGGAAAATAGTTTTAAGATTTAAAAACCTTTTTATCCTTCTCGTTTCCCACATCATTCAATTTCATCTTCTTTGTAGACAAAATCAAATTCCCGAAAGGATCCTGCTTTCTTTTACGTCGCTGCTTGCCATGTTTCTGATGATGGCGTTCACCAATATGCACAATCATTGATTCTGAACGTTGTGAAGTAGACTGAATTAAACAAGGAGACGAAGAGTTAACAGGCAAATCAAAATATTCATCAGCATATTCATCTACATCTTGAATTTCTTCTTGAGCAATTGGAGCACGATTTAATTTAATATCAAATTTTGATTCGTTTATAGCAATATTTTGTTCAATCTCCATGACTAAATATGTGCGTATGATAATAAAAATTTACACCTAAATTAAATAAAAACCATAAATTAGCAAAAAATTGCATTAATGGGCTTCAAACAAAAGATCGATTCGTTAAAAGACAAGTCCAGTACTTCGGTACAAATGATCTACAGTACAAAGGCTCTACTCAGCTAGGATCGTACAAAGGACTAGTTAGAAAATTTTGAACAAACATTATCCCTCAGGATTATCTGGAATAGGGATCCCGGCAGAATTTTGGTAATTTGAAAAAAGAACGCTGAAAGCTCTTACAAAGGTCATATAAAGGCCCTAACAACCTAACTCAAAAAACAAACAATTTTTTTACAAACAAATTTATTTTTACAAAAAAAACTTCACAATAAAAAATTAGCGAATTACAAAATGAGTACAAACTATTAGCAAGCATATAGGGAACAAAGGAGAAATGTGAATATGGGGATAACAAACAATATACAGAAAATAATGTCAATTAGGAACAACAAATAGTCATGTACATTATTTTGGATATCAATTATTTTCATCCTCTTCCAGATTTCTTACTTCTTCGACTATTTTTGTTGTCAGATGATAATGAACGTCTAGAGCTCCTGTCTCCACTTCCCCGGTTGCTTGCCGTTGCTGTCGCTCCCATAGACGTATGGACTGAGGCCGTATCACTTCCAACAAGTCGCAATATGTTCCGGTCCATCCACAACATAGCCTGCTGGATACTGCAGCGAATGTCCGCATCACCGTTCCAAACGCAGTTCGTGATGAGCTCCGCAAACTCCTCTGGAGTATCGTCGCTGAACCTAAGACGCTCGCCTGTGATAACCTTCAAAATGAAAAAAAATTAAGATTAATTTAACAACACTATCTTTCTAACCTTCCTGGCAACAATGTTGTTGCTTCCAAACCCGGCGTAAGGCGTAGCACCATTAGAGAAGATCTCCCAGCAGAGGACTCCATATGCCCAGACATCAGATTTTTTTGTACAAGCACGCTCGATCATGGTCTCAGGGGCAAGCCACTTGATTGGCAATCGCTGATCTTTGCGCAGCTTAATGCACTTCTCCTTGTGTTCCAATTCACGGGCAAGGCCAAAGTCTGCGATCTTGACCTGTTAGCAAAAAATAAAGTAAGCACGATTATAAATTTAATTTTCGCTGCAAAAATAAATTTTACCTTGTTTTCACTGAACAGGCAATTCCTAGCGGCGACATCGCAGTGGACAACATTTCGATCGTGGACATGGCTGAGGCCTGAAGCAGCTCCAAGACACATGTATAGTTTGCTGCGCACACTTCTCGTCTGGCGCTGTAGATGGTCCTTGAGAGCGCCCTCGGTTGCCAAATCCATGACGATCATCAACGGCTCCTGACCCACTGCTACACCTAATCAATTGAACACACATTAAACTATTAGATCAGAGATTTGTGAGTTCTTACCATAACAGAAGATGACATTTGGGTGCTTGAACTTCCTCATGACTCTTGCCTCGTTCATAAACTCCTTGATCTGGTCCTTCGTGCATTTAGACAGCGTAGCCTCCTTGATCGCCACGTTTTTGACTGTTCCATCAGCGGCGGTGAATGTGCCAGTCCGGACGACACCAAATGCGCCACTCCCAAGCTCATCACCTTTCTTAATTGCGGAGTGTGATAGTTCCCATTCATGTCGTCCAATCGCGCGCTTTAGCAAAACGTTTCTGCCCTGAAAAAGAAAGACAACATTTAAACTTTACAAGCCTAAAAATATAAATTCTCTCACCGAGCAGATGGAGGTGTTACTCTGTAGATGAGCTTCCACAAATTCCTGGATCGTGGCGTAGCCTCTGTTCTTCTTGAAGTCGATGGCAAACATGTTTTGTTGTGTCCGGAATATGTAATGGCGTGGAACTCCTTCATAGAAAGTGGATAGTACGTACGATCGGGCATCACCGGCAAACTCCTCGCTCGTCCGAATGATGAAGTCTCCTTCCTTCTTCAGCATGGCTACAGCGTCTTCTCTCGGTAGCTAAATTCAAAAAGTCATCATTTGAAACTAAAAACTAAAAGAAAAAACTCACAAGTCCATGGTAGTACGGTAGCCGCCACAGAGCATCGGTCGACATTTACAGGAGCGGTGGTTAGTTGGCGTAGTAACGTTGAGTTGATGTAGTTCAAAAGCTGGCAATTTTTGCCTTCAAAATACCTTCTTTTTATAGTAACTGATTTAATCTGTAATCGAGATGCAAAAATTTAAAACCCCTTTACTATAAAAACCTTTAATTGCATTATTTGTTAACCGCACTATCTGCAACTCTACGTTCCTCTCAATCCGCAGCCGTTTAATGAGTAAGTTATTATGTACTTAATACATAAATAACGTTGTCATTCTCTTCGTTTTCAGATTTGTTGGCATTTCTGGACACTTGTGGGTCATGGCAAATTTGGATGCTTATCATATCGTTCTTGGCGTTGCACTCCTTGCTCGTGGTTTTTGTCATCGACAGCTTCATCACATGTTTGTGCATTCGTCTTCGCAAAATTAAGGAAGAGAAGCAACAGAAGTTGCTGCTACTTCACCCACCTCCAACTGAAGAACCAAAACAACCACCTCCACCGAAGCCTAAACCTATGAAGCCGACGAAAGAGAAAAAGCCGACAAAAGCAACGGAAGAGAAAAAGCCAACAAAAGATAAGGAAAAACCAGCGAAGGAAGTGGAAATAAAGCCGGTTAATCTGGCGTCTGGTCTCTACGAAAATTTTGAAGCAGCTAAGGAGAAAACGCCACCAAAAGAGGAACGACCGTTGGAGAGTACAGCTAGATCTTCTCGAGATATTGCTCCTCCTCCACCACCACCAAGTCCGCCACCGGAAGTGAAGAGTGACGTGAAAAAGTCAAAGAGTGATGTGAAAATGTGAGTAATATTTAACATTTCTATGTTATGACATATTCACTTTTCAGCAAAAGGGAAATCAAGATTTTGCCAATCATGGTGAAGAAGAAGGAGAAGAAGAAGAAGGACAAGAAGAAGCCAAAGAAGAAAAAGCCATCGGAGAGGTATTATTTATTCGGGTGTAACATTCTTTGTATTTGTTTTTCTTTCTTAGGAGCAGCACCTCAGGGGAATCAGGCAGCGATACAAAGACAGAAAAGCCAGCTAAAGAAACTAAAGGCAGGACTGTTATCCAGGCGAGTTTGAAGAATTTTGTAATTTTAATCATCACTTTTTCAGTTCCAAATACCTGCACTTCCAAAGTTCGAGTTTAAACAAGTTGGTGCAACGTCGGCAGCATCGGCAACTTCCACCACAAAAGGGAATACTACGGGAACTTCTACAGTTGGCCGTTCTACGACCTCGGTGGACACAAAGTGAAAGGTGAATATGTATTGAATTGAACGAGAAGAGAGGACAAGATTTTTATCTTGCTTATTGTATATACAGTAGTCGACAAAAAGATAGGGACAAACGCAATTAAAATGAAAATCACCTATTTTCTCGGTTAAAAATCGATTTTAGGAAAAATTTTTTGATTGATTAAATACTCCATTTAATGCTCTATTTAATGAGTAGAAAATTTGCCTGGTTAATTTTTTATAAAATTCAACCCTAATTGAAAAACAAAAGGTATGCTATTTTAAGCGCGACAAAAAGATAGGGACAAGTCTTGTAACTAAGTTCTCATAGAAGCAAAAAATCTACAAAATTTTGTGTAAGCATATTGATCGATATTAAGAAGAAATAAAAGAGAACTAGGTCCATATCTCATTTCGTTGTCGAGATCTCGATACCCCAAAAATCAACGTAAAATAGGGATTTTCAACTTCAAAATTTTTTGCCGACCCCTTATCGATTGTTTTAAATTTTTATTTTAGGCTCAATCGATAGCCCATGAAATTTGCTATAAAATAGCCAAATTTCATTATTCAAAAAAATTTCACTTTCGAGATAAAAGACGACGATTCTACAAAACGCCATTTATGAGGGAATTTATGGGGTGTTTGTTGCTTTTTGTAACATTCGCCTCTGCAACTAACGAAATATTTTTTTCTCAAAAATGAAATTTGGCTATTTTATAGCAAATTTCAAGAGCTATCGAATAGGCTTAAAATGAAAATTTTAAAAAATCCATAAGTGTGCGAAAATATTTTTTGAAGTTGCTTACCCCTGTTTTACGTTGATTTTTGAGGTATCGAGATCTCGACATTGAAATGAGATATGGACCTAGTTCTTTTTTATTTTATCTTAGTATCGATCATTATGTTTGTACAAATTTTTGTAGATTTACTGGTTGGGTGACTACTTAGTTACAAGACTTGTCCCTATCTTTTTGTCGGGCTTAAATTTGCAGTACTTTTTTATTTCAATTATTTCAGTATATCAGAAAATAATAATACGCCAAATCTTATACTCATTAAATAGAGCATTAAATGGCGTATTTAATCAAACAAAAAATTTTTTCATAAATCGATTTTTAGCTGAGAAAATAGGCGATTTTCATTTTACATGCGTTTGTCCCTATCTTTTTGTCGACTACTGTATGCTTTATCTATAATATCTAGTTTTGCTTGAATAAATGTAGTATGTAAGATAGATAGTTCATAAATATATTGTATGAAATTCGAATTATTGTCGAATGACTACGATAGTTTATTTAAAAATTAATCATTTTGGTGATGCGACTTTTGCGGCGCGTACACTTGCGGCGCAGACATTTGCGGCCCAGACACTTGCGGCTCGCCCCTATTTTGACACTTGCGGCCCCGACACTTGCGGCTAAGAAATTTTCGGCGCAGACATTTGCGGCTATCAACTTGAGGCCCAGACACTTGCGGCCCAGACTATTGCGGTTTTGCCATTTGAGGCTCCCCCCTATTGTGACACTTGCGGCCCGACATTTGCGGTTTTGACATTTGCGGCCCCGACATTTGCGGCCATGATTAAAAAATTAAGTAAATTAAAATAAAAAACCCTAATTTATCGTTCAATTAATATCGGTCAATAGATTTTGATTCCAATT